CTTCTATGTCTGTCTAGTGGCTATTCTGTTCTCTGACCCCAGATAAGTTTATTAAGGTGCACAATATATTGGGGGACACAATATCGCCACAGATAATACTGTTTGTCTTAAAGTTTTGAAAAATTTCTGAGTTTTGAAAATAATCTGCATCTTCTTAATTTGAAAACTGTCCTGTGATCTTTCTAAAATATGTCACTGATATTACACTTTTCAACAACGACTTTAATAATGTCAATTGAAATCTTGCACTAGCTAAGGGACGTGATGGCACTGAGTTGCCTAGGAAATATTGGAAAATTGAAGAAATAATTCTTGCTTGTAAAGCAGATGAAATGTTCATAGGTTATATTTTATTGACTCTCTGTGTCTTTTAAGCACAAACTGAATAACAGCTGTAGTGGACAAAAGCTAGAAAGACTTAAGGAGAAACTTATACTTTCAATTGACCTACAGATGTGTGTTGGGTGAGCAGATGGAATCAGTATTCAAAAACTCATTCAGAAAGAAAATGTGTGAATGAGCAGATGGAATAAATATTAAAAGCTTATCCACAAGGAAAATGATAGGATTAGATGGCTCCACTGAATTCCCCCAAAGAGCAATAATAAAGTTCTTTACCTATTAGGCCCTTGCCATAAAAAAAAGAGAGAGATTGTCTTTTTCCCAAACCACTTTATGACCTTTTAATTAGACTGAAAATTAAATTCTGAGCATTCATTCCAATAAACCCACACCCCTAAAATTACGTAGTGTGTGTGTGTATGTGTGTGTGTGTGTGTGTGTGTGTGTGTGTGTGTGTGTAAGAAAGAGACAGAGAGAGATTACATACCATAGCAGAGTGAAACTCATCTCAGAGCAGAAGATTATGAATCCAATTAATGAAATAAGACATTCAAACAACGTGAAAGATTCAATATAGTTTTGCCAGAGTAGGGAGGCAATGCATAAGTGCAGACTATTTTAAAAATGTCATATTTTTAACTAACATATGATGATGTAGAAAGTTATTCAAAATATGAAAAAGAATAATGGCAACAAAGCTATAAGGAGTATTTGAAAAAAATGTATGAAATACATAATGTAATAACAAGAAACACAAAGAAAAACTCTGGATAAAGTCCATGTGCAAGTATTAATGATCTTTAACTGTGCAACAGTTCTTAAGTGTGATACTGAAAGCCGTACTCCTGAAGGAAAGCAAAGAGGTTAATCAAATCTCTTCAACTTTGAAAATGTTTATTTTAATCAAATTAAGAAAATGGTTTCAAATAATCAATATTTTACTTAGGAACAAAAATAATACTTACATGCCAATTACTAAATAAGGAAGTCATGAGTAGTAATACTGTGAATATGTCTGGATATTTCCACAGTTTCTACTTCAAACCTGAGGATAACAAACTGATTTTGTCTAGGGAAGGTTTGTATAACAAACACTAAACAGATTTTAGTGTCTCTCTAACAGACTGTGTAAGCAGAGGATGTTCACATTCTTTTACTAATTAACAGTGTTTGTATATAACCAAAGAACATTAGACAGTTCACTGTAAATTATCTCTGGAAGAATATAAATATCACATAAAATATTGCTTCTGGTATTGTTTAGAGAATAATTACATCTCAGTTTTAATACTGAATGTGAAGCAATATGCTAAATTGTGGGGACTCTGAATAAAAGTCTTTGGTTATGGAGGCCAAGTGAATGAAGAATCTCACTCCCCAATTATCAAAGCAGAGGTTGAGGTTATCATAGCTCAGATAGCAAAAGACTATTCTCGTATAGATGAGGGCTTCAATTTAACCTATGTAAAAAAAGCCAGACACAGTACCAACCACTTGTATTCTCAAGTAAAAGAAAGTAGAGGTGGATAAGATACTATGGCTTGCTGGCCAGCCAAACTTGCATAATTCACCTCACCAGGCCATGAGAAACCGTGCCTCACACAAGCACAGTGGACAGTTTCTGAAGAGGAATGTCAACCAAGTTTGTCCTATGTACTCCATTTACTTGGACACATGTTCTCGTACACCAAACAGAAAAAAATAGAATAAAAACTGGAAATAAAACAATTGATGTTCACAGATATTTCTCAAGGCTAGATACACATATGGCCAAAAGCACATCAACAATTCTGAACATTGTTACTTATCATGAAGATGTAGAACAAATCCATAAGATGACAATATTTTATACCCACTAACACTACTGGTATGAAAATGTCAGTAAACAAGTTATTGATGTGAATGTGCAAAAATCAAGATGTTCATATACTATTGGTAGGAATTTAAAATGATAAAGCTGATTTTGACAAATATTCCATTTCTCTGATTTATTATGCATAATGCAATTATGGTCCATCAATCCTCATTCTTAATACATATGTACTAAAAGGTATACAAACTGCATTTAACATATGAATATTTATAACCAATTATTAAAAACAAACTGTGAGACAAAACAAACGTTTACCAAGGGAGTAATAGATAAAGAAAAATGCACACACATGTTGTGGAATATTATTCAACCATAAAAATGAATGCAGTGAGTTGGGGATATGGTCTAGAGGTGACAGGGTCTTGGTACTCTTCTGGAGGACTTGAATATATTTCCCAGAATCCACATGGCTGTTCCAAACCACATATAACTCATGTTTCAGGGAATACAACACATTCTTCTGGTATCTACAGACAATAGGCATAAAGATGATGAATATAAAGACATACAGGCAAATCACTCACACATATAAAATAAAAATCAATGAATAAAATTATTTTTAGAGAAAAAGAGCAATATATTGATATATGAGTTATAACGGATAGATCTAGAAAGTAGTAATACTGTACACTGCATGATCCCGTCAATGTAAAAGCTTTAGATTTTGGTGTTTATACACAGAGAAAACAAATGAACATTTAAATAAAAGAATGAGGAATTTTAAGAGTGGTTGACCATCTTAATAGATTTCTCTCTACAGCTACAAAATGTATGAAGGCTGTATATACTTGATACCAGAACACCTCTGCTCAGATATTGAGAACAATGAACATCTTATCTAAAAGGATTTAGACCATGTATGATTTATATTTCTATTTTTAACCTTTGATTTATTTATTCTTTGTGTTTCTACATCATGTATCTTGATCCCATTTCTCCCTCCATATTTTTAAATCTCTGTCCATGCCCTTGCAATACACCCCCACCAAAATAAAATAAAATTTTAAAAAAAATAAGAAAAAAGAAAAGAGAAAAAAAGAAAGAAAAATCTCATCATGGAAATAATAGTGTGACACAGTGAATCACGCAATAGACATTTCTGTGTGTATGTCTTCACTTGCAAGTGTTCATTAAAAAGAGTGATTGGTCTGACTCAAAGCCTTTGGTTTCTACTGCATTATCAATGCTGGACTGTGATTGTATTTCAAAAAAGCCATTTTCACTTTAAATCAAATGAATTAAAAGTGATTATATAAGACACATGTTTATATCTTTCTATTATTTATGCATTTATATGTATGGATATTTATATGCTCATTTATGTGGCCATTTTCCAATAATTCATTTTGTCAAAAAACACATTTATTCCATCCTCATTTCCCATAATACACATTTATCCTTTTATCCAATACCAATTCTAATAAAGTAAAATTCTGTCTAATTATTATTTCTACTAATAATAAATAAAATACCATTGTGTCCTATTATTCTTTATTTTATACTTTGAGTATTACTATTTATGAAAACTGATATTTAAACCATTACTAGAAAATTATTTTTGAAAATTATTATTGTACATACAGTACAACTGTATGTTTAAGTATTTGTTAAATACATTGGAAATGATATTTGCCTTCCTGTTTTAAATTAAAATTTCTGTGATGAAGTAGTATGAACAATCACAGTTTGATCTGGCTTTTCATTTAGTTAATATGTTTTTATCATTCCTTTGCTATTAAGACTCCATTGACTGATTCCAAAAGGAAGCTAGGGCCGTCAAGATTTTCTCTTAGTTCCAGAACAAAAACTAATATTTCTTTGCAGAAGTCAGTCTCCTGTTAATGAACAGAAGAGCTTTCTTGTACCTGGGCATTGGCCTAGCAGCGAGACATAGTTGAGAACATGAAAGCTGTGGGTACAACATGAGAAGCTTTTTTCTCTCCTTTAATTTAGTCCTTTAATGCTGATCGTCAAAGAATCCTTCATACCTAATTAGGGGTGTTGGTGAAGGTGTATTCGAAGTCAGTGTAATTGGGGAACACTTTAAATGAACCTTGACATTCCAGACACAGTGTAATTCTGCATAGGATCTGGGATATCTTGGATCTAGTTGTGTTTTACCTCTAATTATCTGTGAGAAGAGGAGTTTTCCTGGTGATTTTTCTTTTAACGTACGTCTCAGTTCTCTTTTAAATTGCATTTTACAACACACAAGTACAAGGAGACTTAATGGCACTGGTATTTGTCACAAATACAAGAAAATGCACATTACACTACTCTACAATGGTGGAGTCGTAGAAAGAATCAAAAGAAAATTAATCTAAGCACACGAAGCTAGTGATGCCCACAGATTTTTTTTTTCAAAACAGGTTTATAGCTAGCTTATAGTTATGCTTTATAGTGGCATGCAGCTTCCAGTAGGGAGAAGCAAGAAGGTTGTATTCTATGTTTGATGCTTTAATCAAATTATTTTATTTTATTAATTATTTATTTAGGATCTAGCTATCTCATCTATTTATCTAGTCTAGCTATCTAGCAATGCCTACTCTGAAAATAACTCTGAATACTAAGGTGCCTGGTACTTGTAACAGTGAAAATGCATCTGTTGTCTATGATTCATTGTCCCGGTCCTGCAAGGAAAACCACTTGGTTATCTCACTGACATTTTGTGGGTATAGCTTCCTGGTCCTATAGAAAGGACATATTTAAAAAGCAAATGTTCTGGGTGTCTGGCTATTACATTTTTTCTTCTCCTCTAAGAAAGAAATACAATTTAAAAGTTGGTGAGTTGAAGAAGGAGAACAAAAACAGGCATGTTAATGTGGACAAGGTAAAACCCAGAAGTTTCAATCCTATACAAAGAACTATAGGTAACCAAGGAATGATGAGGAATTGGAGAAACAGTCTTCCCCAGGAAGATTACAACAACCAACTGGTTATCCAATAGCAAATTGTCAGCTCTGAAGACATACATACAAGTAATATGATATACATTACATAGGATGGGCTTATGTAGATAGGTGTATATGTAACAATGTGTGTGTCCGTGTAAAGGAATGTAAAACATGAATTTGAAGTTAGGGTGAAAAATAGAAATATTATTTTAAATTGAAATTAAAGATCATGAGAATATAAGAATTAGTGATGAATATCTCAGAAATAAATGATGGAATTTGTTCAGAACTAACATGTATTAGTTGTACCTTTGAATAAAATGAACTTGCTAAATCTCAACCAAATGATACATAAGCATGCACAGAGAAAGGTGAATGATGACCAAGAAAGGAGGTGGTCAAATTGAAGGATAAAGGGAAGCAATGAGAAATGAAGGTGTCAATCACCTATTTTGATTCTGAAGTCGCTTACAACAGCAGCAACCTAAAAATCAAGCAGCTAAAAGAAGGAAGACATTGGTTGAGAATTAAGTTTCAAATTATTGTTTATGGGACCTCTGGCCTATCCTATGTTTCTTTCCTGGGAAGCAGATGAAACAAAATCTGGAGTGAAAGGACAGTGTCACACTTGTGAAGGAACGGAGTTCTGTATCAGAAGAAGCATGTAAGTGGGGCAAGTCCTCAGGCCACAGAGCAGGTGGTGCTGTAGCCTGTCAGATGTAGGTTGATGACTCAGTCACTGGTGAGAAGCTGTTCTGTGAAGAGAGGGACGGAAGTCATCTTAGCTCTTGCACTTGAGCCAGGAGCTGAGGGAGCTGACAGAAGGCTGGAGGCTGCCTGCTGACCTTCCTCCCCGGATTGCAAAGAGCAGCCAAGTCTTCAAACCACCTTCCGCGCATCACCGCCCGTCCAGAGCTGCAATTCTGAAATTAATATTCAGTTCCAACATTACTAATTTTCATTGTTCATCATTTTTTAATGTCTGCTTGGCAAGTAAGGAACAACATAGAACATGGCACATACTGGAAACACTGCAGTAGCACTTTCTAAAAATGTGTTTTAAAGACTCATATAAATAAAACAAAAAGGACTAACACCAAGTGAAAAAAAATAGAGAAGGTAAACACTATGGAAAAGGAAGTATAAAACATTCAAGAATTTTTTACTAAATTCTAAATTTAGAAAAAAAAACAAATGAAAGAAACAAATATTAAGCTTAACTGGGTTGCTAGGCTTAGTAACCAGTTTTGCTAAGTTTAAAGTATTTAAACTTATTTGTAAAATTTACAATAATCTCAAGAGTCTAAAAGAAGAGGGTTCTTTTACATTCTCATTTTTGAGGGCAATTTAGATAAAACATTATTGAAGAATATTTGGCAATATTATACCAAATGAAAGAAAAGCTTTTGTTATGAACAGCGTTTATATTTTCCTGCATTTGTCTGAGTGACATCCTTATCAATGAGGATAGAATTTTAGCTCATTTGATATAGCCCTTGCTTAGCATATATGAAGTCTGAGTTTTAATCATAAATGCAGCATGTTGGCTCAGCATAAATCCCAGCACCAGGGTGGTAGATGCAAGGGACAAGAGCTTGTCCTGGTTACATAGTGAGTTTTAAGTTACCATCCTAAAATCCTAGGAATTATGCTGTCCAAAATAATCTAAATTGTCTTTCAATGAGAACCATGTTTAATTATGATATGTTCAAATAAGTAAATATTATAATTGCACTAAATAACTTAAAAAAATGATATTCATAGACCCTATCATAGAAAATAACCTAAAAATTCTAGTGCTATTTGAAGATATGAAAGTACAATTAGGAACACAGAACATAATCATGTATGCATAAACTGTTATGCTACATATACATCTCTGTGTGCACATGACCTGCAGGCATACATTGAACACCAGTGATGCATTCTGTGAACATTAAAATTTAGATAAATATCTAAAGTTATTTTTCATAATCTCTTCTTACTAGTGGCAGATAACTGAGCACAGAAAGAATGTATTAGATGATTTATAAATTTCGTAGCATTTTTCTATTTTTATAAACACATTACTATTATAGATGTATACACATGTCAGATTTTGAAAGTTCCTGTGGTAGGCAGCTTCTTAGCCAGCTCATAGTCATTTCTACTTCCTAGGATTCATGTCCTCATGAAAGCCAGCATGGTACCAGGACCTATCCCTTTGATCATAATAAGCAAAACATGGCAGACCTAATGGGATACAAATGTCAAATTAGATTTTTCAAATTTGTTTCTTAGATTTTTTTTCTGGCTCTACTTTGTTCCTTTTGAGTCAAGGACCTGTGGGATCCTTTTTACTTGACAGCTAGTATGAAGTCCTCAGCTAAACAGCCACAGGGATCTGAATCTTGCCAAAGAAGTAGCCATGTGTAACTACTTGGCAGGTGCCTCATTCTTGAGTCTGCCTCCTTCTGGATGGCATATCCTGGAAAGAGACCAAATTTGCAAATATGTGATGGGCTCAGAAGCAGAGGACTCAGCTTGCCAGCACAGATCGCTGACACATATAAACTGTTAGACAGTGAATGTATGTTATGGGAAGCCACTCAATTTTGAGAGAATTAATTATGTATCCATAGAAATGTAATGCAGGCCATGCATTTACAGTTAATAATTGGACAGTCACAAATGTCACCATGGTAAAAGTATACCCCTAGAGTATTCATTCATATGTAACCACATTTTAATAAAATTAATAATGCAGCTGTGATATTGAAGATATTATTGAAACATTAAAAATTGACATTACTTTCTAGATACCAACATGTATTCCCTTTTGTAGCACGAATCTTAAAAGTTCTTATTAATAAAAGCAAACCTGGAGCCAGTGTACTGGGGTCTACACTGGAAGATCAGAGAAGCAGAACAAGCCACAGTCACTTCACCTCGCCAATTCCTCAGTTGATCCTGTTTCTTCAGACTGGAAGTCTGTGTCCTCATATCCAAATGGACCTCAGCTGAACTGCTTCTCAAAGCCTGAAAGCTTAACCAGCTTTAGTTCCTGGTCCTCACTCCTTATATACCTTTCTGCTCCTGCCATCACTTCCTAGGATTAAAGGCTCTTGTTACCATGCCTGGCTGTTTCCAGTGTGGCTTTGAACTCACAGAAATCCAAATGGATCTCTGCCTTTGGAATGCTACGACTAAAGGTGTGTATGGGCCACCATTTTCTGGCCTCTATATCTAGTGGCTGTTCTGTTCTCTGACACCACATAAGTTTATCAGGGTGCACAATATTTTGGGGAACACAAAATCACCACACCCTTTATAGTATTATTTAAATATGTTATTCAATAATATTGAATAGTATTAGTAATGTATGCATTCATGATAGTAAATTTTAAAGAAATGATTTAGGTCAGTCGTTTTCGTAAAAGTGGTCATTAAAAGTGGACATCGTCTATAGGGTCATGCTAAAAATTTGAACATTATGTATACCTAAGTAAACAGATTTAGAAGTGTTACCAGTAAGGTATGTTATAATAAATTCTCCACATGAATGTGTTGCCCAAAACACACTAAAATTTTCCTTCATCCACAGGTATCGTAATGCCCAATTTATTCTATTAAATTGATTCAGTGGCAAGTTTAGAAATTCTAATCTGACTTTATTTCCATGTCTAAGGCTAAACAAGAGTAGCTGGATAGCTGAGACATTTGTTTTTCACTACTTAAGTAAATTAAACATTCATAACTAATATATTAAAATAATGATAGATATAGGATTTATCATATTCAGGATTGGCCACCTTTTCATGGCAGCTGGATTACAGGAATCTTATAAATGAATCCTGATAATATCAGTCTGTTGCTGTACGAAGTTTGGCTGAGAAGCAGCATCCAGTGGGTTATGGGCAAGTGTATGATCATTAAAGAGAGAACTTTTGGATGAGCATTTCCAAAGACAGTCTGACACAGAGTTGTTATAACAAAGGGTGTGTGTTGTTCCCTTAGTGCAATATTTCAGCACTGTCATGATACAATTGCTTTCCTTTTATTTTAAATAGTTCCTAGGACACTTGCCACAGAAACTGTAAATTTCAGAGAACAGAGTATATTCCTCTAATTTTCTAAGAATTGCCAGAGTGATTGAACCAATATTTACTTCATAAACACTTGATTTTATAAAAGGTGAATATGTATGGTAATAATTACCTGGGCAGAGGATCACTTTTCTCATCTATTTTCTTTTATTATTTTATCTACTAAAACCAAGTATGTCTATTCCCAAACTCAGAGACTCAATAACAATAATGCATGTGTTTACAGTTTCAAAATGAAGCAATAAGATTTGTTCTTGAAGACTCAAGAAATGTATGTGTGCTTCTACTTTACAATCTTTTACTTCCCTAAAATAAAGAGCCTTTGTTTTTCTCTTAATTTTTGGAACATTTCATTTTTTTTTTCTTTTTAAGAGATTTTCTATTCGTTTTACATATCAACCACGGATCCCCCTCTCCTCCCTCCTCCCACACCCCAGCCTTCTCCTCCAACCCAACCCCCATTCCTGTTTCCTCCAAGGCAAGGTCTCCCATGGGGAGTCAGCAGAGCCTGGTATATTCACTTGAGGCAGGTCCAAGCCCCTCCTCTCTGCACCAAGGCTGAGCATTTGGAGTATTTCGTGATTAATCTATGCTCTGAAGTATTGCAAATGATGTTCCTTTAGTATACTTGACTTAAGGCAAAAAGGATCTGACTAAATCTGTCCATCGGACCAAAAATACAAATATTCCTTCCTTCTGTCCTTTCTTCAGTCCCCAGCCTACCTTTATTTCCTCCTATCTTTGTGTGTTTTTGTGGTTTTACTTTCACTATTTATATCATGTGTGTGTGTGCATGTATATATATGTGTGTGTGTGTGTGTGTGTGTGTGTGTGTGTGTGTGTGTGTGTGTGTATTTGGACAGGAAATCCCTAGGAATTAATGTTACAAGAAACATATGCATTTAATCATTTCTGTTACATTTTTCATTTATTTAATATTAAAAAGAGATGAAAATAATCGGTATTGAAGAAAGTATAAGTGTATTTTTGGTTAATGGACACATACATTATCAGAGAATTGATAAGTGATGCTTTGCCTTATTCCATCAAGGAGGCTGTAGTCACCAAAATGAATTCTTAGAAGATTGACTTATGCTATGATTGTTAAATGAACTTTTATGCACTAAAATGTTTTAATATTTAAAGTTTCTGTTTCATTTCCTGAAATTTTTCAAAACTTAAGACAAATCTTTTGCCTAAGTCAGACTAATGAGAGCACTCTATGATATTCTCTTCAAGAAAAGTTATATGAAATTATAAATATTTCCTGTAAAAAGGGAGAGCATGATCAAGTTTCCAAACATGTAATTCTCCATGACTTGTTCATTAATGGTGCTGGCAAACTGTCAGAAAAACAGCACCTCACTTTCCATTACTGACTTTTCACTCTATCAACAAATCTTCATTTAGATTCAAAGTTTGATAGCTAGGTGCATCCCATAAATCCTCTGTAAGCAAGAAAAGCTGGAGCAGGTATTCTCTTAATCCACTGCTTTACTAAACAAAGCAAAGAAGAAAAGTTGATATGTATGCATAGTTAGCCAAGGTATAAGATGTAGGGATGCCTCAATCGCATTACTAATTTTGAATTAACATCACACATCTTATAAAATATGAAGTGATATGTATTGTTATGTTTTAATTATGCCTATATGTGCGGGAAGTCTGTTCACATATATATGCATGTACACATCAAGTCCAGAAGAGGATGATAAATCCCCTGGAGCTTTAGTAACAGGGAGTTGTAGACCAGCTGCAGTGGATGCTAGGAACCAAACTTGGTCCTCTGCAACAGCAACATGCATTTTTAACTATTGAGGCATGATCTATACAAAAAAATATAATTTTGTAAGAAGAACTATGTAAAGCAATGTTTCAAGAAGACATAGTGTGAATAAGTGCAAGAAGAATGGTCAAACATCAGCTATTGTTAGTGTTCTCATCCTACGTAATCATTTCAGCATCTGTCCTTCTAGATAACAGATATGGCAGAGTGCAGTAAGTAATATTTTTCTATGATGTCTTAAATACAAATGTATTTTCTAAAGTTTCATTGATGTGAACTAAGTTTCTCCTCCCTTAGTTAATTTTTATACTTTCATTATACTTACCATAAATACCTACATACAGATTCATGTATAAATATATTTTGTCCATTGTATGTAAGCACACTTATGAAAACGTCTGTGTGAGATACTAACATGTAGACATGTCTATAAAAGTACCTACATCCTTACATATTTGCATATAGATAGACATATATAAGAAAATTATACAAAAACCATAATATTGAGGAGAGAACACCCAGATATACATAAATACATATAGACATTTACATAATGTGTAACATTTCTTCACACTTTATTGGTCAACGTGGCATATCATCATGGATGAGATTCAAAGTTAGTTAGGTCTAATATATTTAAATAGAAATATATGTACACCTCAAAATTTAAATCACTTGAGCTTGCTTTACAAATTATATTGACTTTAGTATATGCTTGACTCTTATCAAAAAAAGCAAAATTTGCTAACTTCATTAAGCAAAATTAAAGGAGAAATGGCCTAAAACATTCTAAACCAACACAAAGCTTTAAAAAATGTATCAAAACTAAAAGGAATAGTACAACATGATTGTTTAAAGGATCCTTAATTTATGTAAATTGAGGGGGTTTTTTGAAAATGCTCTTTAGAAGATTCTCCTGGAAGAATATGTCATGTATCTATGAAAACTAATATATGTTATCTCTAAGTAGAAAACTGTGTTATTTTTGTGTTATTTCCATTCATATAGAAATATGGGCTTCTGGGATATATCCTCTTTCTATGCTGACGTCTTTTCTCTAAAGAAAATCCTACATGAAGTGTTATTTATTTTCTTTCTTCTCCCATCTCTTCTCTTCTTATTTGTATTTCCCTCAAGTATAAAAATAGTATATGTGCATTGGAAAGTGGAGAAAGTCTACTTTAAGACAGACTAATATAGAAAATAGATTATGTTTCCCTCTAGTTTACTGTAGGAAAAAGTAGACTGAAAGCAGATTAAATAAAAGCCACAGAGAACAGGAAATAGAAGTCAAAAATAGAATCTAGGGCCAGAATTGAAAGCTTTAGAGACTCTAAAACAGAAAAGCACCTTAAAGGTATTTATTTGCTCAGAATACATTGGAGAGAAATCACAAGCCAGACCATCTAGGGATCTGCTTTTTTTTTGCTCAGTCTAGTCTCATTGCTGGCAATGGGCAAATATACACAGTTACCTGAAAACCTCCTAGGAACAGTGAGGTATCTAAGAAAATCTGGTTAGGAAGTAGCATGGCAGAAAAAATGGAAGGATATGAAAAATTTAGCAACAGTGATAAATGCCTACTGCATTGGCTATGTCAGTTATGATTTGGACCATGGACATAGTACAATGAATTTATTAATATAGATCATAAATATACAACTGTGGAAACTAATGGCTATATGTATATATGTGTGTATGTATGTATGAATATATATGAATATATGAATATATACATATATGTATATTCCTGCAGTTCAGGCATCTAGGCACAAATCATCCCCAGAAAACAGATATAGAGCCCTGGGACTGGAGCTATTAGTGATCTAGATTCTATATGTTAAAAGGGAAAACAAATTTATTGGTTCTAATTGCTTATTTTATGTGAAGATATGATTTAGCAACAACAACAGAGATAATCTAGAAAATAATCCATCAGAGATGTTATTCCAGTAAATACATGGCAACTGCTCAGTGTTCTTAGACATCACATAAGTGTAAATATAAAAGATCATGAAATATTATTTCACCACAACTAGATTGATACCAAAAATTATATGAGTAATGCAGGATAAGAGATTGTACCACTGATTTCATTATTATATTTTTCTACATAACTGAATAAAAATTCATTGTGTATGTACCACAGTGCGTATGTATGCATTTATACATAAGTATATGCATATATATATATATAAATGTGGAATGTCTGCTTTTTTTAGAAATATAGGAAGTTATATTTAAAAAGTCATATTTATTTATAATTGTTACATTGGATTTAAAAATAACACATGTACTAAGATACTCTACAACTATTATTTAGTAATCTTTGATAATGTTTTATGAAACTGGCAATGAAATAAGATGGATGAAGAATAATTTCCTGTATGTGATCACTCTCTGAGAGAAGTACAGTTAGTGGATATTTTTGGTATATGTAAAGAAAAGTCTAAATGAGAAATTATAGTTTTTACATATGCATTTGATTTGTAAAATAGTTTAATATACCATGAGTCAGTCAGTGTATTGTTTTATGAGAATAAACAAAAATAATTAATTATACATCTTACCACTCAAAAATTCAAAATCTAACAAAATTTTCATAGTAAATGCATTTAAATTTTCTTATCTTAATTTCATGATTAAATATTAGATATTTGAATATTCCCAACTGTCCTACCAATGATATCTTTGATTTTTAATTGCAGCTTTAAAATTTAATTTTAAAAATGTTACTTGTCTTGCTTATAATCTCAATCTCTGACAGAAATGCTATTAACAAGGTATACGAAGAGCTGAGAAGTATTAGTAATTTTTTTATGTGTTCAATGTTGACATTACTATAGTAAGATAATTTGATGGAGTGTTTTTTTAAGTGGGGGAGAGATAACGTCTTAGAATGAGTAAGACTGCCTAACAACGTCTCAGCAGAGTAATAACAAATTGTCATTATTTATAGAAAGTTTCCCAACAGAAACATACAAAAAAGCAGCATGTAGTCTTGATAGCTGTCAGTTTTGTTTGCATATTTACTTCAAATTATATTTTAAGAAAAAATATGTCAGCAAATTTCACAAAAAGAATCATAAAAGATAAGTGATTTAAAGGTGGTATAGTTTTAACTAAGCTCACAAGTGATTATATGAGACGTTATGGAATTGAGAGGGCTATTTTGTCTGACCTTAGGAGAAACGATTCCAGAAGAGTGCATAGAACATGCAGTAGCTGTCAGCTTCCTCTGAAACTTGATAGGCCCTTAGTGAAATCCACAGAGATAAAGCAACCTAGAACTTCTGACTGTTAATATTACAAAAAACAAACAAACAAAAATAAAACACTTTGTTGTGAGTGAAAACTATTTCAGTGTACTCCTGATGGTTGCTTAACTGATGTAAATATTAGAAATTTAAGTTTTGCTTACCTCTTAAGCTCATTTGTTGAATTTGGTCCTTTGATGCTATGTCTATAGGAGGTAAGAACATTGGAAGTCATTTAGAATTAAACGTTCCCAGGAAGGAAATCACACTTGAAATGTTAAAATTCCTGTAAAAATTATGAGAAAATTGTGTGTTTCCCACTTTGGTCTATATGAATTTTCAATGAATAGTGACTAGTCTATAGTCTGCAGATGTTTGTCAATAGTTCTAGACCTTTCTGTTACACAGATCTCAGAAATCTAGAATCTGGATTCTAGAATTACAAAAACCAAAAATTTGTTGTTGCCTTTTTCTTAGAGTTCCATTTCTGTAATAAATCACCATGATCAAAAGCAACTTGCCCGGTCAGAATTGTTAAGATCAAAAACACTGAAGACAGCTTATGCTGGAGAGAATGTGGAGCAAGGGGAACTGAACTCTCCTCTACTGTTGGTGGGAATCCAAGCTTGTACAGCCACTTTGGAAATCAATATGGTGCTTTCTTGGGAATTGGGAATCAGTCTCCCCAAAGACCCAGCTATACCACTCTTGGGCATATACCCAAGGAATGTTCCATTATACCACAAGGGCGCATGCTCAGCTATGTTCATATGAGCATTGTTTGTAATAGCCAGAACCAGGAAACAACCTAGATGCCCTTCAACTGAAGAATGGATAAATAAAATGTGGTACATATATACAATGGTACTCAGCAGAGAAAAACAATGACATCATGAGGTTTGAAGGCAAATGGATGGATCTAGAAAAAAATCATCCTGGAGTGAGGTCACCCAGTCTCTGAAAGACAAAACATGGTATGTACTCACTCATAGGAAGATACTAGATGTAAAACAAAGGATGAATAGACTGCTACTCCAGGGAGGCTACCTAGAAAACAGGACCCTAAGAAAGACACATTGATCGTCCAGTGACAGAGAAATGGATGAGATCTACATGAGCAAACTGGACATGAGTGGGGATAATGAAGGGCAAGGGTTAAGGGAAAGAGAGCTCAGGGGAGCGGGAGATCCCAGCTGGATCAAGAACAGAGAGGGAGAACAAGGAAAAAGAGACCATGATAAATGAAGATCCCATGGGAATAGGAAGAAGCAAAGTGCTAGAGAGGTCCACAGAAATCCACAAACATACCTCCACAATAGATTACTGGCAATGAGCGAGAGACAGCCCCAACTGATCTACTCTGGTGATGGGATGGCCAAACACCCTAACTGTCGTTCTAGAAATCTCAACCAACGACTGATGGAAGTGGATGCAGAGTTCCATTGCCAGGCCCCAGGTGGAGCTCTGGGAGTCCAATTGACGAGAAAGAGGAGGGACTGTAGGAGGGAGAATTGTTGAGACCAAGATTGGAAAAAACACAGGGACGAATACCCAAACTAGTGGAAACACATGAACTCTGAACCAATGGCTGAGGAGCCCCCAACTGGATCAGGCCCTCTGGATAAGTGACACAGTTGATTAGCTTGAACTGTTTGGGAAGCACCCAGGCAGTGGGACCGGGACCTGTCCTTAGTGCATGAGCTGGCAGTTTGGAACCTGGGGCTTATACAGGGACACTTTGCTCAGCCTGGGAGGATGGGACTGGACCTGCCTGGACTGAATCTACCAGGTTGAGCTGAATCCCCAGGGGAGTCCTTGCCCTAGAGGAGAAGGGAATGGGGGGT